GACTTATGATAAAAAAAAAAAAAAAAAAAGAAAATTTTTTTCCTCCTATTTTTTTAATATTCCTTTTCCTTATAATTTTTTTTTTATTTATTTAAAAAACTTATTAATTTATTTATTAAAGTAATAATTAATAACACGCCCGCCCGCTCGCCCGTATAGAGTTGATGTCTTTTAATTAATTTTCTTTATGTTCGATATTAATAATAATAATAATAATGGTTTCACATTTTTCCATTTATTCCCTTTATATTTTCCTTCCTTTGTTAAATATTATTATCATGAGAAGACATAAGTTTTTTCTAATTAATTGAGTCACGCCCCTCCCTCTCCCGCCTCTTCCCGTTTTACCGAATAAAAATGATAATGATAATAAATATTATTGAAAATGTTTAATAACCATTCGTATTCGTAAATGAGTACAGAACGTTTGTTTTTTTTTTTTTTTTTTTTTCCTTTTTTTTTCTCATGTTACAGTGTTTAATGTTGATTTAGATGCTTTACACTTATCAATACCGCCCCAGGGTCTTAATGGTGAAGCCGCTTTGCAAACTGCTTTTCCTGGTATGCCGCCATATCCAGGTGTCGGTGAGTATATTATTTATTTATTATTTATTTATTTAATTTATATATATATATATACGTATAGATTTTATTAGTATTATTATTACTATTTTTTTTATTATTATTACGTTTCGAAAACCGAATATAAATAATATTATTTTTTTTTTTTATTTCTCCGCACAAAATTTTTTCTAAACCCCGCCCCCACTCCACACCTCCCCTTCGTGTTAAACACATATATATATATTATTATTATTATTTTTTAAAGAAAAAACGAATATCATTTTTTATTATTATTATTCAATATCGATTATTATTATGTATTTTTTTTGCCTACACGTGCATAAACACACACGCGTGCTCATATATAAGATTGGAAAATTTTTTTTTCTGTTATTGCACCCTTATTATTATTATTATTATTTCATTTCACCCTCCTCCCCCCGCCGCCGTATTATTGAATAAATTTATTTTTACCCTAATGATTTATTGAGTATTTTTTTTTTAAATATAAATGTTAATAATATATATCATTATTATTATTATTATTATTTTTAAAGAAATTGATCAAGTAAAATAAACAAATAAATAAATAACCCGAAATCCTTATTTGTTGCATTGTAAGTTGCGTTATATGTATTTATGTATTTGCTTTATTGCACGCTTATATTTATTAAAAAAAAAAAAGTTATTTTAATAACTTATAATAATAATAATAATAATAATAATAATTTCACGAGTCAATTAAATAAAAAAGTTAATTTTTAATTACTTAATAATAATAATTTTTTTTTATCTTTAGTAGTTACTATCCATAAGAAAACAATTGAATTATGAACGTATATATATATTTAAATACACACACACACACGCACACACATACACACACACACACACACTTTTATATATATATATAGAGTTTGTATTTTTTTTATAATTAAACATAAAAAAAAAATTAAGCGGATATTAAAAATAAAAATGAAAGAAAAATTTTTTTTTTATGTTCAACACGTTGAATGTATATTTAAAATAATTGTTTTTTTTTTTTTTTTGTTTTTTGATTTTGTTGTGGTTCTCTTTTAATTTATTCAGCATTTCCCGCGGTGTACGGCCAGTTTCCTCAAGCCATACCCCCGGCGCTTGCATCAGTCCCCCCAACACATAGAGAAGGTAAGGTTATTTGCTTTTTTTTTTTTTTTTTTTTCATTACTGTCGGTGACAGTAGTTTTTATAAATAATAATAATAAAAATGAACCTTTGTTTAAATCTTTTATGTCGTCACTTACTCTTACTTTTTCTTTTATTATTATTATTATTATTATTTAAATGTTTCATTGCCGGTAATGTATTTGATAAATGAAAACGTTAGAAAGTTTTTTAAATTTACGATCTTTTCCCAGGAATAAAAAAAAAAAAAAAGGCGTTAAAATTGATATTTTTTTTTTTTTTATGCGAGTGGGAAAATTTGTGTCAGCATTGAATTGTGTAAATATTTGTATGCGTTATCGAATATTTTCCTGTCTTTTCCCATGTGTTAATATTTTCCTATAACTAAATGTTCAATTTTTTTTTTTTTTTTTAATTCTGATATGGTTTATGTGTTCGATATTCAAAATGGCGATGATAATATTTATAATAATAATAATAATAATATATTACGTATACACTTTTGACAAGAGTTTTTCTTGTTTATGTTTGAGTAATTCTTTTAAGTGTTTTTTTTTTCCTTTTTAAAATTTTCCCCCCTCTTTGTTTTTTTATTTAATTTTTTTTTATTGTAAACGTTGTAAATGTCGTACCTATGTAAATTATTATTATTATTTTTTTTTTAAATGATAAATAATAAATTGTTAATAATATTTTTTTAAAAAATGCGTCGAAATTTGATAGATAATACTTATAAAAAAAAAATAAAAAAATTTTTTTTTTTTTAGGATGTTCCATTTCCGGACCAGAAGGGTGTAATTTATTTATTTATCATTTACCACAAGAATTTGGTGATGCCGAACTCATGCAAATGTTTCTTCCTTTTGGTAATGTTATTAGTTCAAAAGTGTTTATAGATAGAGCAACAAACCAAAGCAAATGTTTCGGTGAGTTTTTTTTTTTTAACGAACAAACACAACCGAATAATAAAAAATAATAATAATATTTAATTTTTTGCTTTGATTCAAAGGTTTTGTTTCATTTGATAACCCAGCCAGTGCCCAAGCAGCAATCCAAGCAATGAATGGATTTCAAATTGGTATGAAAAGGCTGAAGGTTCAATTGAAACGGCCAAAAGATGCTAATCGGCCTTACTAACCACGAATTTCAATTTAGTGCAATTACGTTTACAAATAAAAAAATAAAAATAAAAAGCCAAAAAAAATAATAATGATAATAATAATAATTGTTAAATATCGCAGATGATAGAGGAATACAATTCAACCCAGGTAAGATTTTTTTTTTTCTACTTAATATTAATATATAAAAAACACTTACCCACGTGACTTTTAAAAAATAATTTATTTTATTCCAGTTGTTTTATGCACATCAATTCTTCATATTTTCTTCATCTAAAACAAACAAACAAACAAACAAACAAACGGTTAATGTAAACATTTCCTTCTTTTCTATACTATAAACCGCATAATAATATTTAAGGTTTTATTTAATACTAACATTTATATTATAACCAAAAAAAAAAAAAAAGAGAGAGAAAGAAAACAAGTATAAAAAACAAAACATACATGTTTTTATTTATATTAACTCTTAATTTCTAATTATATTAAACGTACCACAAAGCATTTTATAATATACACAAATAATATAAATATATTTAAAAAAACGTGTATATTTATATATATAAATATGTATAAATATAATAAAAAATAATACATAGACGCATATTATTAAATTATATAAATATAATTCACATATAAATTTTTATTTTAAAAATAATTTAAATAATGTATATATATATATTATTATATTATAATTAACGCCGTCGTTAAATAATATATATATACAAACATAATATTAATTAATTGATTTAGTTAAGTAATTGCAGACATGAATTTACAAAAAAAAAAAAATTTATAACCTTATTAAAGGTGAATAAAAAATTTCTTTTTTTTCTATATATATATTTGTCTGCCAGCTCAATAATATATATATAATATAAATATATTATAATAAATAAATAAATAAAAATGTCAAAAAAACAAAAAAGGGTAAATTATTTGAGGTTTGTAAAAAAAAAAAATTATAATAAAAAGTATATAATCAATTGATCGATTGATTAATTAATTATATTATATATATAAAAAAATAATAATATTTATTGATTAGTATAATAAATAGAAACGATAATAGTTAGTTAGAGTAAGTAAAAAAAAAAAGTTAAATGAAAAAGAAATTAATTGAAAGTATTAATTAAATAAAATATAAAAAATTTATAGTAAAAAAGCTTTATTATAATAAACAATAAGTATAATTACTCTTAAACATACATATACTGAAATTTATACTGTTTTATATAATTTAAAATTAAATTTTTTTTTTTTTTCAAATAAATTTTATCTGTTAGGACTCATAAAATAAATAATAATAATAATTTTTTATTAATTAATATTATTATAATTTAATAATAAAAATTCATATTGTTACGGATTTGCACACGGATAGTTTTTTATATAATGTAAATTATATATATGTAATAGGATTTAGCGAAATAATTTTTTTTTTTTTTTTTATTTAAATGATAATAATGATACCATAGGAGTACAAAATAATTAATTAATTAAAAGTTTTTCGTTTTTTTAATATTTTCGCACAAACGACTGATACTAAAAAAAAAAAAAAATTTTAGTATTTTTCCTGTTTGCTTTTTATCATTTTCATTTTCATAAAAATATTGTTATTAAGTTATGAAAAAAAAAAAAAATCGACAGGGTTAAAAACAGGTATTGAAATATAAATATATATTTCAACTGTGTAATATTTGTAATTTTGTGTCGCCATTAATATATATTTTATCAGATAATTAATACTTTGATACACACACAAACAAATATATATTTAAAGAAACTTTTTACATTTGCCAAATTATTATTATTATTTAATGCTTATTTAATCGTTAATCACATATTATTGACACGACACACGTTTGAAAGTAAAAAAAAATTGATTTAATTTAAATTTTTTTTCGATTTCAAAATTTCCCGCTTTTTTTTCATTATTACTTTTGTGTGAGCGTAAAAAAATAAAAGTAAAGAAAAATTATCTAGTTACCTGAGAGTCCTAACAGGTAATAATTTTTACACGAAAAAAATTACTCTGGTGCCAAAAAAAAAAAACAAAAATTATTTCACATAAAAACGACAATTCGCACCATTATTATTAAAATAATTATTTTATTTATTAATAATAATAATTAACTTATTTATTTATTTATTAACATTTTATCTAATGCTATTATTATTATTTTCTATTATTATTATTTTAATCGGGCACAAAATATTTTAATAACAACACAAATTAGAAAAAGCTTGAAAAGTCACTTTTTTAAGCACACAACATTCTGTATATATATATATTATTATTATTAAAAACAAAAAGAGTAGATTTAGTTAAAAATTATTTATTAAAAAAAAAAAAATTTTTATTTATTTATTTATTTTATAATAATAATGATAATATTATTATTAATATTATATACTTAATAAATAATTTATTATTATATTTAAACAAATGTATTGTTAAATGCGAATGAATTTATTAAAAAAAAAAAAAAAAAAGAGAAAGAGGGATACATAATTTTATGTAAATAATAATACTAATAATAATATAATTATTATAGTAACGAATGATACAATAAATTGGCAAAAAATATAGTCAATTATATTATTAACTTTTTTTTATTAAGAAACAAACGGTTTAAATTAATATGACATAAAAATTTATTTATTTATTTATTATTTAGAACTGACCGCGGCTTTATTAAGTTTTATTTATTTATTTATTTATTTTTTTTATGGAAACTTTTGTTATTTTTTTTACGAAAACAATAATTATTTATTTTTTTCAGTGCAATTTATTTATTTATTCAGTCGTGCAATTTTTATTTTTTCCCGCCAAAAAAAAAATAAAATAAAATAAAACATTCCAATTAAATTATTTTTTTATATTTATTTATTTATTTTTTGTATTAATTTATTAACATTTAATTTAATTTAATTTATTATTAAATTATTATTATTACGAAGCGGCAAATATTATTAATACGCATAAATGATAAAAGAAAAAAATACCGTTGCTATTTTATATTAATTAATAATTATTTATTTAATTTTAACTATAACTATTATCATTATTATTATTAATAAACTAAATTTAAAATATTTAATATTATTTATTATTATTATTATTATTAATTTTTGAAAAATAATTTAGTCTAAATTTAAAAATTATCCTAGTCTGATGCTAGTCTTAGTTTAAATAAGTTTTTACATAGAATTTATTAATAAATAAAAAAATATATATTTATGTATACATAAGTCATATATCATTAATTATAATATACATATATATACATAAAAATAAGAAGGAGGAAAAAAAACTTATTAAAAAGGGTTTGAATTAATTTAAATTTTTTTTTCATCTCATTATTATTATTATTATTATTATTATTATTATTAATTTTTTTTTTACTATGTATTAAATAAATAAATATCTCTAAAAAAAATAGTTATTAATGATAATAATAATAAAAAAAATTAAATAA